GGTGTGGAGCGCGCGGGCGCGCGCTCCTCCGGGCCCTGACCGGCACGTTCCTCTGGGCCCAACTGTTTTGGGTCGCCTGTTCCGTCGGAATGTCGGTTAATCGAGGTCGGTGTACAGGCCACGTCGGCAGCGTCACGTAATTCTCGTGGTCGCGAGAGCTAAGGGACGCGGGCGGCAACCGCTTCCTCGATAGCGGCTTATGACGCGTAATCGGATCAGCGATATCAAATTATTGCGATTATAGCCGCGGATAGAAAGAAGTTTTTCGGCCCGCTTAAGAGAGCCCGAGACGACCGACTGGTGGGTCTCCTCAAAATCAAATGATAAGCTTAATTCAATAACCGACGGAGAGGGTGCACGCCGGGAGGTGTGGCCGGATGCCCGTTACCGAGAGACGGGTTTGGTCACCGGCTGCGTTTTCCTCCGCGCTGATTCGTCGATCCCCGGAGCCACCCTTGGACCATACCAGAGAACGGTTACCGCCCTCTCGCTCTCTGTGTTCATCCCCGTACGTGTGCCACCTCCGGTTCGTCGGCTGCGACCTCTCCCCAACAGCCATCAGCCCGAATGAACGCTATCATTCGATGATGCCATCCCTCTCTCCAGGGTCTCGATTTTACGATCGATTCCGAGGCAGGCCGTTTCCGCTGGACAACCGGAGACACGCTTCCGTTCCTGTTTACGCCTGGCTCCTCTGCGGTTGTCTTGGTGTCGATCACCGAGCCTGCTTGAGTTTTTAACCTAACTAATCAACGGCTATGGACAACAGGCGAGATTCGAAGCCTCGGATGTTAGAGCTCTTGACGCTCCTGTTTACCGAACAGTCCATTAGGTGTAATTGCTCTCAGAAATTGCAAAAAGTAGGATTACAAATTTCTCCGGGTGTACTTTGTCTTTGTTGTCCTCGATTCGCGAGCGTAAGAATAATGTTCCTCCGGAATTAAAAAGTGTCCCCGAAGCGCTCGCACAGGGTGGAGATCAGGGGATTAGAGAGCGTGGAATATGATTTATCTTCAGATAGAGAAATTACATGAGCAAACACGACAACGTTAGGACGCATGCTACGAACCTGTGCGACACTTGTTTCGCACTTGTTCTCACGAAAGGGCCACGATGAGAAGTGGTCCTGGTGTTCGACCCTGTTCCCTGTGTCTCGTCCCAGGAGAATTCTCTTCCAGGGTAAGCGGAACGTCGTATACCGCGCAACACCACCTATGTGTGTATTGAGAATACAGTGGAGTAGGCTCCCTCCATTGGCGTAGCCATAATTTCTCTTCGTCAAACCACCCTCTACTTCACTGATATCGCTATATAACTATTAAACAAATTGCAAAAATATGCATATATCGAATCAATATGCACAGCAATATTACACATCATGTTGAGGTCTTTGCACAGGTCCAACATTTTAGTTGTGTAACATACGTACACCGTATGTAAACACGCTTGTTTACACAGCATAAACAGACATACATGGTGTACAACAGAGTGCAGTCTCTTGAAGAAGTAAAAGTTTGCGCTTACGCCAATGATATAAAACGCGCGTGCGAGCACACAAGACTGTGTATGTTCGTCTTTTATATCAACACAGAAAACGTCAACCCCCCTTAGCGGTCTGATACATATGTCCTTGATTTGTCCGGAGAATAATATTCTCCTGGAAGGTTGATTAAATATTGGTTAGTGATCTCGGATGCCCTTCACCCCTGTTGCGATTCCACCCCATCGACTCGAAGACCCGCAGGAATACAATTTAATATTTCCACGTCCGGGTAACGGTCGACTATTTTTCTTCCGATTCACACGTGCATGCCACTATTAAGCTGCTTCCACGCTGTATTACATGACAGATTATACAGTTACATGTGCAAGTTAACGATTGAAGTTACTGTGACATTTTTGGTGATGTGGTATTTGGTTATGTAATGGTGGCAATATAATGAGAGGTAAATTGGTTCGGCTCAATTTCTGTTCTTCTTAAATTTCAAAATTTTTCACTTTGAACATGTCCCAACTTCTAAATTTTCAAATTTGTACATTTTTAAATTGCTGAAGTCCCATATTTACAAATTTCTAAATCTATAAGTCCAATATTTCTATTTCTCAAATTCTCAAATCCCCAAATTGCTGAAATTCCATATCCTCAAGTCCTAAAGTCTATAACTGACATAATTCAATTTCCCAAATTCTCAAATCCCCAAATTGCTAAAATTCCATATTCTCAAGTCCCTAAATCTGTATCTCCCATAATTCTATTTCCCAAATTCTCAAATCCCCAAATTGCTAAAATTCCATATCCTCAAATCCCTAAATCTGTATCTCCCATAATTCTATTTCCCAAATTCTCAAATCCCCAAATTGCTAAAATTCCATATCCTCAAGTCCTAAAGTCTATTACTGACATAATTCTATTTCCCAAATTCTCAAATCCCCAAATTGCTAAAATTCCATATCCTCAAGTCCTAAAGTCTATAACTAACATAATTCAATTTCCCAAATTCTCAAATCCCCAAATTGCTAAAATTCCACACCCTCAAGTCCCAAAATCTATAACTCCCATAATTCTACTTCCCAAATTCTCAAATTCCCAATTTCAATCACATGGAGTCCTCTTGATATATCACCAATTGCACTCATAACTTCATGCACATCTATTTTAACTTACAATTAACTCTCTCTCATAATTGTCCTCCCAACAAACACTGATATCACCAGACCTCGTAACAAGTTGCCCGAACGTTCCATAAAACAAGATCCCAAAGTGATTTATCTCGTTACAGAGTTACACTGTGTCTCGTTTAAATCCTAGATAGATCACCGAACCTGTTCATTTCGAAAAACATTATAACGCTCCGGTTCATAAACACAACATGGCCGCAGCATGTTGTCGTGAACCGGTGTAATGAGACGTAAAATAGATTAACGTAGTAATTCACGTTAGCTCGCTGTAAAATGTTACTGGGCGCTGATTAAAATGGCTTACGATTATTCGTTTGCCGATCTGCTTTTGTACGACGTTATTACGGGCTAATCCTGTTTGTCGCGCATTTATGTGCACGGTTATTTTCTCTTCGTTAATTTCGGAAATTATAACTGAACGCTGGTCATAAAGTGTCATCGCACTCGTGTTGAAAGTTTTAAGTAGACGGACCAATATTGTTCCTTGCAATTGCTCTCTTAGGTTTTTCGGATTGATGATGTACACGGAACTGGAAGTGTTTACTGTTTACCGCTTTTTTAGCGAGCCAACAGGTGGCATTTGATGATGGCATCTATGAAAATGTTTCATTAAAAATTTTTCTATTATGTCAATTTTAGTATATGATTTTTTAATTCACCGATGTATGTCTAGATTTTAAGTAAAATCATTATTGGATTGATAATAAAGTACCTGTACGATATTTTGGGATTTTTGGTTTAAAGATGGCGCCACTTTTCCAAATTGGCGGGAAAAAGTGTGGAGGAAGGTTAACCTGGAAAAGAATGTGAAAACGATTGGATGTTGTATAAAACAGTTTTATTGTACGATTAAAATTGGTGCAAATATTTCCAGAAACAAATACATACATCTCAGTTACTGAGGTAAGATCATTTCTGTTTCGGAAATTGAAACGTTAAAAGTATAGTTCATATTCAAATGACAAAATAGAAAGAAAAATACATGGATGCGACCAGAAATCCAATTTTAATACTGGAAGTTGTACAAAGGAAACAATGGTATCAAATATTCGAGTAATTTATAAATGCAACGAAAAATGATACTTTAATTCGATTTATATTTAACGTATAAAGATTAAATCATTACTTTCACCCATACTTTGCAACAAACATATCAAAACAAAATCTGATAAATAAACCTCCAAAGACGATTCATGTGCTGCTTAAATCTTGCATTTTTATAAATATACAAACCTGAAAAAAACAGGGAATGTATCAATTAGATACAGTTTTTATTACAGTTACAATATGATAAATAATTTTACCTACCTCACTGAAATACAATAGAAAAAATATATTATACATTTCAACAGATTTAACAAATTCATTTCTGGTAGAAGATTGCGTGGTTTCTCACGCAGGCATCATTCACGTGCTGATACTCTGAAACAGGAAATATAATCAAAACAGAGTTTAATCATGGTGGATGACCTGCCACTGGGTTTTGGAATTTTTGAGACTGTAGTACTTTAGAGCTGAAGGATTTTAAGTTGCGACTTCAGGATTCAAGAACTTTACGACTTTGGAACATTAAAACTTTAAAAATTCCCAGTAACCCAGTATCACTCATCCAATATTCAAATGAAAAAAAGTCGCTACCGTGATTCGACCGGTAATGCAGGTCGTCCCAATTGACTGTACCGCGTCTGGTCAGTTTCACCTTATCCCCTTGCAAGCTCCTCACGATTTCCTCGCACTCAGCGTTCCTGATTTCCGCCATCTTCTGTTTCGGAACGTGAAGCTTGCACACGTTCGGATCTTTGACACACCACACATTCGACTGAAATTCCGGTCGGTACAAGATCACTTTTCTCGCGCGAGGTTCCTCGAAGGAAGAAGCCAATTTTTCCTGTTCAAATACCTTATTCTGTTCATACGCGGGTACAAATATGACATTCTGTGGTGCTTCCTGGGGACACGAGACAACACGGTAATTGACACCCGGATTGATTACCTCTACATTATCGACGGAGGTAACTCGTTGATTGCTTTGCATATATATAGGTATTTTCTGCGTCCTATTGTTGTTCTCAACAGCCAGGTACTTCACTGGCTGCTCTTCAAGGACCACCGCCTTTCTTGTACACTGATTGTTGGTAAAATTCGTTTGCACATCCTGCTCCTCCAGGGGCAGTATCTGCAAGTTCTGCACGCCTTTGAGTATACCAACGTCTGGTACATCTTCCTGGCAGAAATTCCTGCCATGTACGGTTCTCAGTTTCTCTTTGCGACAGGATACATCGCTAGAGCATTCTTGATTGTTCGAATCAACCACCACGTAACAAACGTGCTCGTCGTTGAGGCACTTCTGACCGGGATGAGGAACTCTCCTCAACAACAGCTTCTCGCAGACAACGGGCTTCTGATGCACCTCTGCATTCTGCATCTGTGAGGTATTCGACTCTTGGCTGCAGTAATACGAACCATCGGAACCCTCGGAGCAGCGATGATAGTTCACCGACGGTCGCTGACAATTTTTGTGCGCGGAGCAAATGTTCATGGACTTCTCGTGACCTACGGAGACGCTTCTCTTCATCACGCAGACGTTAGGATTATCGGTTGTAATTAAACTATTTAGATGCAAGCAATCGCTTATGTTCCGCGAATCCTTCTTCGTGAACATTATAGTCTTTTGTATTGGAGCATTCGTGTTCTTCTTGCTCAAGAACTCGTTCAAAATCTGAGGCTTGAAACGCATCTCGTCCTTACGCAGACTCGGTGACGCCATCACACAGGTCTGTACGTCTGCAGGGTCAAATATTGCACTCGTTTCCAGCTTCTTGTTTGTTAACTCCGTCTGAAAGGACTGCGAACCGAAGAGAACGTTTGAGGCGTCTTGAGGCTTTCTATTAATCTGTATTGACTCGTCGAATAAGTTCACCTCATTGCTGTTTGTGGCGGGATTACATCGCCGCAGTATGGCGGGAACGTGTTTCAAATTCTTTAGCTTAGTCTGATGAGGTGCCTTCAAGTTTCCTTTTCCCGCGTGTTTCATCGTGGCAAACTTCGCCTGACGCATCGCTTGCATCCGTTGATTCTTGTGCTTTAGTTTCTTGGTAACTAAATTGTTCGGAAGCTGTGCTTCCATTGGTATGAAAAGAGGAGATTCATTTTTCTCCACTTTGTTCGCATGCGACGAAGCGGCAGCCTCAAAGTACGTGCTGCCACTGTCCTCGCATCGAGGGTTGTCAAAGTGATTTATTCGCAGGAAAGTAGGACTATGCGAAGTTGCATCTGGAGCTCTGGATAACTCTGGCACATTTTCTACTTCTGAGTTTGATGCATTGAATAAGGATAGGTCAAATAACAGGTGCGACGTTGGAATTTCGCTCTTCCTATCGTCTAAATCAAATTTCTCTGGAAGTATAAATATATTTTGATTCTCTGGTAAGCTATCCTTCTTGTCTTTTCTGTGATGTAGTTGACATTCAGACTTTTCTGATGCAAGGTTCAAATGTTGCGCATAACTCGAAGAACAGAATTCTTCTTGTTCAAGAACGCTTTTAGTGGAACAGGTTGCTGTTTCGTTTAAAACTGTTCCACGTTTTATCATATCGCGCAGACATTGGCTACGGAACGATTCTGCGAACATGCTTCTCAATTTTTTCTTTGTCGCTGTTAGGGGATCTAAAAAAGATGCAGTAGCAATATGAAACTTGGGACTCCTTTGATCTTCTTAACATATTTTATTTGTGACAAATTTATTTATTGAAAATATTTAGGGAAAGTACCCATTGAGTAAAATACTAATTATAAAATACTATTATTTTTTTATTTATGTATGTTTAAATGTATTACCTGTTCCGGTGTCGGGAAAATTTCGTCCCTCGAAGTTCTCAGCAGAAATAATATTACACAGCTCCTCATACTTCTTCATTGCAAAATCGTCTGACTTTTCATTATTCGAATTCTTCTTTTCCAAGTGCTGTTGAAGGAAATCGAAAACTGTTGAAGGATTCGGGTCTTCCGTGGGTTCCTTTCTTGAACATCGTTTTTTCCTACGAGTATACCTTTTTTATTGTATGTTAATACTTCATTAGTTTGTAGTTCATCATTCATCTGTGTCTTGCTTGAAAAGATTCAATGAAAATTACCTGAGACTTACCCATCCACTTTACCCAAAACAGGACTTAAGTATTCATCTCCGAGAGGGGTTGGTTGTAAAATATTTTTAATATTAGAATCCAACAAAGGATCTTTTAAAATTTGTTTGGTATCATTTTCAATTATAATAGGCCTGCGAAATAACATACGTGACATATAGTTTCTAATGAAGCTTCAAAATAAAAATAATTGTTTCAGATAGTTTTCTTACTCTGATTCTGAATCACAGCCATTTAAAAGTTTATATACATCCCCTTGTAGGCGCGCATTATTTATATCGTTTAAAGATTCCTTTAGTTCAGCTGTAAAAAATTATTTTATATTATATTATATTGTACAGAAAATTTTAAATAATACAATCATATATTATTGGCAGATTAAAATTTGTTTAACAGAATTAAATAATTTTGCAAAAGAAATTTTTTTTATAATTTAACAATTGTAAATAATACGTACATCTCCGAATTGTTTTTCCCGCCGCGCCATTTCTGTATATGCCTACTAACTGAAACAAGAAACAACTTTATTATACGAAAATAATATAAGAAATTATTAACAGGTATTCAAATTTTGCATGCTTCAAAAATAGTTTATTGTACTTACGCGTCTCGGTAGAATTCTATTTGCTACCTTTTTTGAATTCCGCGCCTTTCCTGATTTGCCGTCGATCTTGGTTTCCTTGCTCTGCAAAATTTCGTTTGCAAATGATAATCACGAAAGGGATTAAAAATTTAAGTTAAGATCTGATTAATATATACATATTCCTCTCGTATGTCTGCGAAACGTTGTAAAAGCTTTACGAAATTATTCTGCCGAAATTTGCGCGTCACCTGACGACTCTGCTGAAAAATCACATTTAGAACGTCACGCTTTAACAAACATTTATTTACTGAGATATTGCGACTTACTAATAGAAATCTAATATGTAGAAAGCAAAATTTAATATGTGATAAGAAACCACACTATTTCGTACATTTATTTATCGTTCGATTTATCGATATATGTGTTATATACATTGTATAGTTCAGCAGACGTACACCTAGCCTCAATTTCACTTTCGCTACGTTTTTGCGTGCTTATTTTATCGAATATATTAGAGAGTGTCTAATAAACAATTTTCTACTAATATTTATGCAAAACACGACACTTGTCACGAAACATAATGACTTTAATCATGCTTGTCAACTTGTTGAACATAACCAAAAGCACTGTAACATTTCGAAGTATTACACTCTTGAACACAATGCTACACATTCTTGTATCACGATTATATCTTTAAATAAAAGAATCTAGAGTTTGTCGAGGAGAAAAATAATCAAAGATTCACAAAATGCGAGACGTGTAATATATACCCTTTTGGACTTTAACAGCTTTCGTTGAAGTTCTCCAAGGTCTCTTTTACATTTCTTCTTCTTCGTTCGACCTTTTTCTTCTTTACGAACAGTTTTTCTTCTTTCTTCTTCCGAACTGTCACTGGCTGTTGTGGCACGTACAACCTTCCCCATTTTCAATGACACAATTAGTCAATTCGAGAGCATCAGATCGACGAGCGTCCTCAATGTTTGTTTACATTCCCATACCTTGCTTCTTATGGTGGCACAAGTAAATATATATCATGGACTGTAACAGTATATCGACACACACTTTGTCTCGTTCTAAGGACACTAAATCTGTTCTCACAATTGACCAATTAATGTTGTTGGTGAAACGCCATTTTCTATCACGTACAGTCCATTAACATATTGGTAACTGAGACCACTACAAGTAGTAAACATCGATTTCCTGTTAATTGTATCGAGACAATTTAGTTAGAAATTCGTACTTCTTCTGAGGTTACGTTTAGGAGACATTTTGGAGTTTCCTTCTTTGTTAAGTGTTTTTCTAGTATTATAAATATACTAATTTATTATCGATTATATAAATCATTTAATTATTAATTTACTAATCCAGAAATTTGGGGATTTGCAAATTTCCGAGTGACGAAATATTTAACGTTGCACTTGACCGCGTAACGTCACTAGTCAAATGTACTTTGACATTAAATTTAAAATGCAACTACAAGTTAAAAGTAATACTTAAAGAAATGAAACGAGCTTTAATTTATTGATACAAAGGAAAACTTTAACTACTTTTAGTAACGAGTTTAGAAACAAATTAATTACTTGTTTGTACAGACACTTAATTGATCATTTGTATCGACGCCATATTGGTTTCAGCGCGGCGGGAAATATTATTTGAATAGTAAATTCTTACAGTTTAATAAAAGTAAAGTTATGATAAGGTAAATATCGAAGTATTTAATGTTAGCGATTGTAATAATTGGTTTTCATGATTTTATTAAGTAAATTATTAGCTAAAATATGTAGTATATCACTTTGTTTAAGAGATATGCTTTCACAGATGTTTCCGTAGTGTAGTGGTTATCACGTGTGCTTCACACGCACAAGGTCCCCGGTTCGATCCCGGGCGGAAACAATTTTTTTTATTCTCCCTGCATTTCTCTTTTTTACTATGCATACAATTTTTAAACAATCGATGCAATACATAATTACGATAACTACATCTATAATTGAGCGAGCGAGCCGAAGGCGAGCGAAGCTCTTATACTTGACTTTGCAACTACTTTGTCCGTATTTTTCTTTTGCACCACTCAACCAATTCTCATCAAATTTTGCATGCACATGCGTATGCACATCCAGATGGACATAAAAAAAAAAATTTTAATCGGACTTGCCACAAACAAATAATCACCGAAAATACTGATCCTAAAAAGCGAGGGTCCAAACACGCAAATAAGGAAAATAAAAAAATGAATATTTCGGCACTTTGACGACGTAGTACACATCCAGATGGACATAAAAAAAAAAATTTTAATCGGACTTGCCACAAACAAATAATCACCGAAAATACTGATCCTAAAAAGCGAGGGTCCAAACACGCAAATAAGGAAAATAAAAAAATGAATATTTCGGCACTTTGACGACGTAGTATGGCTCCGGAGGCATTTAGAAACAAATTTCTATTAGGGTTTGATGCGTTTTGATGCCTAATAAAGC